TTCTGCAGGGAAGCTAAGTTCTGGCTTGAACAAGAACACAAAATGGCCTCCGGCAAAAATCCAAAAGACCAAGGGGAAGCAATGCCTTCCCTGGGTCTTAGTGCTCAACTGCTCCCCTGTTCCTATCCCTGTTCTATCTCTGCACTCACTCTGAAAGGGGCTATGCTGTTTTATTAGTTACTTTCTATTTTTTTGCTCAACATCTTCGGTCCCCCCCCCCTTTTTTTTTTCAACAGAATTTTTTCCCCAGTGTGTTTTTTTGTGGGGGAGGGGATGTTCAGTATTTTTGGCAACCATCTGGCAACCCTAATGCCATGACTTAAGAAAACCTCACCTGATTAGTGAGCATGGTCTGAAGTGTTTTTCTGATAACGTAGTAAGTTGGGCTATCAGCCATGCTCTATGCAGTAAGGGCCGGATCCGCCCCCTTTAACGTCCATGGGAATCTTTCCCTTCACTTTACTGAGTGTTGGACATCACATGGTATTGTGTGCGGAGAAAGATGTGAGGTGAAAGCGGAGCTGGTTTTGGGAGTGGAGGGTTCGAATAATGCTGATCACCCTGACTGTAGCCTTGACATGCTTAGAAGTCTTTATTGCCACCAAAGGCTATTTTCTTGCTATTTCAGGGCCCAATCCCTCAGTCCAAAGAGTTTTGCGTGCGTTAAACACTGCTGAGGACTATTCCAGTAAGCACATCCCTGCACTGCCGTCCCCAGCCAGAGGTGAGGGAAGGGAAGCAGCAGCGCATGCACTTCCCTGCAAGCTGGATCCGGCGCGGAGCCTTGGGACTTTCTCTCCTCTCCCCCCATAGGAAACTGGTGCTGGCGCTCTAATCTTGGGGCGGGCCACGAGTCTGGAGCACCGGGCCATGAGAGCCAGAGCCCAGCAGCAGGCAGTGGTACCGGGACCTAGAGCTGCTGCTTGCCAAGGCCCCAGAGCATAGCAAGGAACCGCTGTCACCCCCTGACCCTCCTGCAGTGGAGTTGAGGGCCAGCAGGGAACCCAGGGTGTCCCCCGAGGCAGAGTGGGGAGAATACCGAGCCATGGCCTCCGCTTCTGGCTCTGCCAAGACTTGTGAGGGGTGATGCAGAGTGACGTGATGATGTCACACTGTCATCCTGCAGGAAAAAATTTTTTATGAAGAGAGATTAGGATCCAAACACCACTGTAGGATTTGTAATTTGTGGTCTAATTAGGTGATAAAGGAGAGAGAGGGAGTGAGCGAGCTACAGTAGTCTGGTTGCCTTTTAGCACCTAATTATCACTTCGTAGTGGACTCTGGGCAGATAATTGAACTGTAATGCTTAAAGATCTTCAAAACAGTGGAAGCTTTTAAAAATATATATAAAACTAGCAGATGTACCCAGCATTGTTCAGGTTTTTGAAGTAATTTTTTTTTAAATAAATGAAAAATCAGCATGTTTTCTTTCAGTGATTGTATTTTTCAAAAATGAAGGAAACGGAAGCCTGAAGTGAGTGTTCAGAGGTGAGCAAGGGCAGGGTTGGTTGGCTTGGGGCAGAGGGTTGGGCGGTGTGGGGGGCTCGGCAAGGGAAGGGGGTGCAGAAGACAAGGCAGGTGGGATGTGCAGGACTCAGGCAGGTGCTCAGCATAGCGGGCTGGGACGTAAGAAGGGCTTACTGAGGCCGCCCGTGGCAGCAAGGGTGGCGCTGCTCTGGCAGCGACTCCTCCCAGATGGCAGGAGCAGCAGTCCCCTTCCCCCGATCTGCAGGCTGTCTGTGAGGAACAGGTTCCGGAGGCTGCTCCCCCCTCCACGGGCCACCTCCACCTCCCTGGGGCCTGCAGACTGGTGGGGAGGGGGGGACGCTCTGGGGGCTGCCCCCAGCCTCTAGCAGTGACTCCACAGTGAGCACACTGTCTGGGGGGAGAGCCAGGCTCTGGGATCTGTGCAGTCCTCCAGCAGCTCCTCCCCCTAGGAGCAGGCCGAGGCTGGCTGCGGCAGCTGGCGCCCCAGGCGGGACGTGCGATCGGCACCCTCGCCTGCAGGGCCATCAATGGACTGATGTCATCATCGGGCGCCCTGGGCGGCACCCAAGTCCACCTATAGTCACGGGCCGTCCCTGCCTCCCCCTCACAGTATGTCGGGGGGACAGCCTCTGAGGACTGACCCTCTCCAACTAGCCCTCCATGGCCTGCATGCTGTCTGTGGAGGCAAGCTCTGGGGACCTTCCACTCCTCCAGTGGACCCTCCTCTGTCCACAGCCTGAAGGCTGTCTGGAGGGGTGAGGCTCTGGGGGGCTGTCCCCTCTCCAGCAGTCACCCCTCTGCTCTGCCGGCTGCGGGTGGAGGCAGGTTCTGATGGCGGAGCCCCAGCCCTGCTGGCCACTCTTTTGGTTCTGCATCTGTCTCCATTGGCCACTCTTAGTATCGCATCCCTCCTCTCTCTGCCCCCTTCCTTTCCATGTTATGGCAAACAGTCCCATTCCCTGCACTTCCTGATTTCTGAGCACAACCAAACCCTGGCTTTGGTTTAAGTTAGGGTAAGAGGAAGCTGCATACCAGATTTGGTGGCCCTGGCTCTTACAGTTGAGGAGGGGTTCTTGAACAAACTCTCTCAGATGTACAAACAATGGGACTTGCAGACAGTCTAAGAAGTAGATCAAGGTAGCTATGTCACTCGGGTGTGAATATTTATGAATCCTAAGTACTATAGTTAGGTGTCTTACCCACCCACCCTCCCAGTCATGATACCAGTAGGTTGTTAGGATTCTTCTTCCATCGACCTAGCTACATCCTCTTGGAGAGGAGGATTAACTAACTACAGCAATGGGGGGAAAACCTGTCCATGAAGAAAGCAGTACAGTGCCTAAGATGCCCTGCCATAGTGCAGACATGGCCCAAGTGACGTTGCAGACTAAAACCATGTGTACACTATCATTTCTGTCAGTAAAACTTGCGTCTCTCAGGAGTGTGAAGAAAGTCCTTGCTCTTTGAGTTGATGTTACTACCGTTGTTGAATCCTTTCGTTGGCTCCCTTGTTCTCCTGCCTGTCACCACCATTCACCTGTCACCTGCACTGGTGAATACAGGGGGAGAGTTTCACCACTTCCCCCAAGTCCCTCCCCTCTAAGCGATGTGGCTGGGAGCCGGGAACGGGGGGAGCAGAGTGGGCTAGAGGTAGTCACTCTGCTTCCTCTACCACCAGTGTGTGCAGGGACAAGACCAATCCTGCTGCCAGTGCCAGGTCCCCTTCTAATCCCCCAAACTTCCATGTGCCATGCAGGGCCCTGGGCAGTTGCCCCAAACTGCCCAATGAATGAGGTGGCTCTTCCCCTCTTGTTCGTTTTGTAACACCCTGTTAGACTTGCCAGACATCCATCCTGCTCCCAGTAAACAGGGAGGATTAGCATTATGTCTGTGACCTGCAGTGCTGCATGGTGGTAGCCGTGTATGTGTCTGTGTTGTTTCCCCATACTGCACCCATGCAAAATTATTCAGCACTTAGGTCTGCAGGCTATATAGGAATAACTAATACAATGGGTACAATACAATAAAAAAGTATAAAATATCCAAAAATGTCATAACACACAACAATCTATATCCCAGTAAGATCCAACATTAAAGCTCTCTAAACGATGTGTTTGGCTTCCCAAATTTCTCTGGTTAATTTGCTTTGACATATCCATAAACATTTTTCCTAAAACACAGCGAAGCATCTGAGTAACACAGATTGAATTGTTAGTCTGTTGAGGGATAATAAACAGGTCTGCAGATTAAAATATTAACTAATTACTGTATTCAATTCCATTTACTTGATTTCATGTTCCATTAATTTTTGCTGTCCTTTGTTGTGGGAGGTTTTAGATTATTTGCCCTATAATAAGTTATGCTAGAGGGTTGCAGAGGGATAGATTTCTTCAAACTGGAAGGTGAAAATGAGTGGTATTCCATGCAGGAAGTGAATTGTCTAAACATCTATCAATATGTGGTAGTAATAACAATCCCAAAATAATGTATTGAAGTCCAGTTCTTCAATAAGCAGCAAAAGGACAAATATTGAAATAGTGCACATAGCTGTGGTTTCTGATTAAGTAAAATTTTGCTTTCAAGCTTATTGCATTGTATTACGAGGAATTTTTATTTACTTTTCCTGGAAATGGGGACAGGAACATTCTTCAATACAGCAATATGAAATATTATACAGTACAGCAAAATTCATGTGCTCTGTCATTGTAAATAACTGCATTTTAGTGTCCCATGTTAGGAAGTGGGATTTTTTTTGTCTTTAATATATTATATGTTTGGATTCTACAGTAAGTTCCCTTTTGTATTGTTTGGCTGACTAATCACTTTTCTTTGGTGGATATGATAGCCTTCTTAATTATCCTAATTCCAGAAATCAACAGCTGTGGGAGTATGGTAAAACTAAAGATGTAATCAGTGCAGGTCACTAACCATATTCTCATTTTCCTTCCCCCGCCCCACTTTATTTATAAACTAAAAGATTTACCCGACATTGCTTGGACTCTTCAGGGCATGATGGGGGGAGGGGCAGGAGTCAGGGCAGGGGTTGGGGATGTGGGATGCTGAGGGCAGAGGACTGGGGGTGTGGTGGGTGCAGGAGTCGGGGTTGGAGTGGTGGTGAGACTTAGGGCATGGGGCTGTGGGTGTGGGGGAGTTCAGGAGTCAGGGTTAGTGATGAGGAGCGGCTCAGGACAGAGGGCTGGGGCTGTAGGAGATGCAAGAACCAGCGGAGGCTGTGCTTCCCAAATGGTGACTCCCCAGGGCTTGTCTACGGTGGGGGGCAAAAATGGGAAATGACTGTCTAGGAAGGAGAACTTCAAAATCAGATCTTGGGGTCATACTGAACCACAAGCTAAATATGAATCAAGTGTGTTGCTGTTGCAAAAAAAAGCAAATATCATTCTGGGATGTATTAACAGGATTATAGTAAGGAAGATACGAGAAGTCGTTCTTCCACTCTGTGCTTATTAGGCCTCAACTGAAGTTCTGTGTCCAGTTCTGGGCACCATATTTCTGGAAAGATGTGGAGAAACCAGATGTGGAGGTCCAGAGAAGAGCATAAAAAAGTGACCTATGAAAGCAGATTGAAAGAATTAGTTCTATTTAGACTGAGAGGGGTCATAACAGCTTTCAAGTGCCTAAAAGGTTGTTACAAGGAAGAGGGAGAAAAATTATTCTTCTTAACATCTGATGATTGGACAAGAAGCGCATGGAGTATTTTTCCCCACTTGCTTCATTATTGTTAAATACACTGGAGTTCTCTGCTACAAAACTTTCTTGTGTGCAGAACTACTCCCCCTAATTCTCGTAGGAGTATCAGTCCATCCATTAGCAGGATTCAGAAAGGTAGTTGTGTTAGTCTGTTTCAGCAAAACCAAGAAGTCCTGTGGCACCTTAAAGACTAACACATTCACGAGGACATAAGCTTTCATACAGCCCATGAAAGCTTATACCCTCATAAATGTGTTGTTTAAGGTGCCACAGGACTCCTTTTGGTATGAGCAGAATTGGGATTGATATACAGGCAGTCCCCGAGTTACGCGGATCCGACTTACGCGGCTCCGACTTACGAGTTACGCGGATCCAGACCAGGGAGACGGGGAGCAAAGCCGGGGAGCACACGGGCAGCGGACAGCCCAGATGTGCCGCGGCTGTCCCGCTGCCGGCGTCCTCAGAGGCTTTGCTCTCCGTCTCCCTGGTCTGCTGGTCTCCAGCAGACCAGGGAGACAGGGAGCAAAGCCGGGGAGCACGCGGTCAACGGACAGCCCAGACGCGCTGCGGCTGTCCCGCTGCCGGCGTCCTCAGAGGCTTTGCTCTCCGTCTCCCTGGTCTGTTGGTCTCCAGCAGACCAGGGAGACGCGGAGCAAAGCCGTGGAACACGCTGGCAGCGGGACAGCCGCAGCGCGTCTGGGCTGTCCGTTGACCGCGTGCTCCCCGGCTTTGCTCCCCGTCTCCCTGGTCTGCTGGGGTGGGTGCGCGCAGTTAGTACACCCTCCCCCCAGCAGTCTAGGCTTTTCTCCGGACGCCTGTGGTAGAGCGTTCTGGGCGCTACTGGACCAACCCAGCAGCACCCCAGCTGCTCTGCCCCAGGCGTCCCCAAGTCAGCCGCTGCTGAAACTGACCAGCGCTGACTACAGGAAGCCCGAGGCAGAGTTGCTCTGCCCCGGGCTTCCTGGAATCAGCCTCTGATCAGTTTCAACAGGCTGAATCTGGACGCCAGTTCCGACTTACATACAGATTCAACTTAAGAACCCCAGGCGTCCCCAAGTCAGCTGCTGCCGAAACTGATCAGCGGCTGATTCCAGGAAGCCCGGGGCAGAGCAACTCTGCCTGGGGCTTCCTGTAGTCAGCTGCTGGTCAGTTTCAGCAGCGGCTGAATCTGGATGCCAATTCCGACTTACATACAGATTCAACTTAAGAACAAACCTACAGTCCCTATCTTGTACGTAACCCAGGGACTGCCTGTACTAGAAATAAGTGCAACGATATTAGCTAGCAATGAATATAGGTCTCTTGTATGAAACTGTGAAATGCCCTTGCATGGAACACTAGCTTTTGCATTTACTATTTTGAGTTAATTAGATCAATTCAGTAATATATATTTCATTAGCCAACTCTTCCTGGGAAGGGCAAGCAAACTAGTGAGACTGGGATTGTCACATCATATAATTTAAATTCCTTTTGGTGACTGATTTCTAAACTCCAATATCATAAAACAAGTTTTTTCTGCTTATGGAAGTGCTGCATAGGATTTGCTCTTTTAAACCTTTGGGGGCATTAAAACATTCAGTACACTAAACGTCTTATGTCTCTTATGAAGTATTCATTTCACCTGATTTTAGATTATTTTAATTTGCTTAGGGGTAACTTGGCTTGCTTCATGGTGATATGTCTTTAATTAAACAGCCAAGTTACCTCCATAGCCAGAACACCTTATTCATTTTACAGTGTTTTTTAAGTAACTGGTAATGATATTGCCATAATACGTTCTATGAGTTTAAATTTTTTCCTAAGTGCCTGTAATGTAACATTCCAAGGGAAGGGGAAAAGTCTTTACTGAACTATTTGTACAAAAACACTTTACAACTAACAGAAGGTAAATATGCAGGAAGGAGCACATGCAAACTTTATCATGTTTTTGCATTAGCAAACAGTGGACCAGATTGTGACATCTTCTGCCCAAGTTAAACTTCCATGGAAATCAGTGGAGTTTTGACTGAGAGAGGACTGTGTGATTTGTCATTTAAATACAGGCAGTCCCCGGGTTACGTACAAGATAGGGACTGTAGGTTTGTTCTTAAGTTGAATCTGTATGTAAGTCAGAACTGGCGTCCAGATTCAGCTGCTGCTGAAACTGACCAGCGGCTGACTAAAGGAAGCCCCAGGCAGAGTTGCTCTGCCCGGGGCTTCCTGGAATCAGCCTCTGATGAGTTTCGACAGGCTGAATCTGGACGCCAGTTCCGACTTACATACAGATTCAACTTAAGAACAAACCTACAGTCCCTATCTTGTACGTAACCCAGGGACTGCCTGTACTAGAAATAAGTGCAACGATATTAGCTAGCAATGAATATAGGTCTCTTGTATGAAACTGTGAAATGCCCTTGCATGGAACACTAGCTTTTGCATTTACTATTTTGAGTTAATTAGATCAATTCAGTAATATATATTTCATTAGCCAACTCTTCCTGGGAAGGGCAAGCAAACTAGTGAGACTGGGATTGTCACATCATATAATTTAAATTCCTTTTGGTGACTGATTTCTAAACTCCAATATCATAAAACAAGTTTTTTCTGCTTATGGAAGTGCTGCATAGGATTTGCTCTTTTAAACCTTTGGGGGCATTAAAACATTCAGTACACTAAACGTCTTATGTCTCTTATGAAGTATTCATTTCACCTGATTTTAGATTATTTTAATTTGCTTAGGGGTAACTTGGCTTGCTTCATGGTGATATGTCTTTAATTAAACAGCCAAGTTACCTCCATAGCCAGAACACCTTATTCATTTTACAGTGTTTTTTAAGAGCGGGACAGCCACGGCGCGTCTGGGCAGTCCGCTGCCCGCATGCTCCCCGGCTTTGCTCCCCGTTTCCCTGGTCTGGGGAGATGTGGAGCAAAGCCGCGGAGCACACGGGCAGCAGACAGCCCAGACGCGCCACGGCTGTCCCGCTGCTGGCGTCCTCAGAGGCTTTGCTTCCCGTCTTCCTGGTCTGCTGGTCTCCAGCAGACCAGGGAGACGGGCAGCAAACCCCGTTCGTAACTGCGGATCCGACATAGGTCGGATCCGCGTAACTCGGGGACTGCCTGTACTAAGTTGTTAATTATTACTGATAAAATTCTAAATTCCTCTTGAATTTTGTAATCTTTATCTGATTCTTCATTGGGACCCTCAGGCACAATTCTGCCAATCAGAACTCTGGTCCTGGACTCCATTTACCCCCCACTCAGCACTGTTTATAGTCAATCATGTAATTCTGCTAATGCCGTGTGAACTTCCTTACTGCCCCCCCACAGATGATTACTTTGCAGCCTGATGAATAAACTTTGATTTCCCATGTCATCTTAAACTAAATGTCTACAAGTGTTATTAATAGTCTGGAGAGTTGGTCAACATTTTTCCTGGAAAAAAAAAAAAAAAAAAGGTGGAGGGGAGTGTCACTGGAAAAAAAGATTTCAAAGGGAAAATGTCCTTTTTAGTTTATTTTCTATAGAAAAATACTAAACCAAAATTCCTTTTCACTTTGAAATTTTTGGTTTCAGCTCTTTTCTTTTTTACCACTGAATGCCAAAGACTGAATGTGGCTAGAGTTTGTGTTGGGAGAAGGCCTGAGGGGAGAGGGTACCACTTTTTTCCTTTCTTTATTCAATTTTTCCACTCTAACTTTTCCAAACTTTTGAAAAGTTATTCTCTGGGAAATAGAAACACTGTACTTTTGCCACTCTGTAACTTTTCAAAATTTGGGGATGTTCAGAAGAGTCACAGAATAGAAACATTATTTGTGTTTGGGGAAACTTGTAGACATTGTTATATTGCACTATGAAGGGACTGATAATTCAAAACTATTTAAAAAAGAATTACAAAAAATTGAATGGAAATAACTTAAATGTTTCACAACATTTTTTTTATTGTTGCAAGCCTTATGCATTATTTGTCTCAAGGACCTGTGGCCGTGAAATCTGTTGGCTGACTACAGGCAGTACTAAGCAGTGTTTCTATCACCTGGGCCAAATTTTGCTCTGCTCTGGATAAACCCATTTTTGTTCCTATGCTCTGGATAATAGCTTTCTTTTAATGAAAAAAATGAGAAAATGAAACCTAAACACTAAATTGCAGTTAAGGACATACCATTGTTAGAATATTAAAATGCATCTGCCTTCATTCACGTATCATGTGTGTGCTTTTTGCTTTTAAATTTCTGTTGTGATGCTTCAACAAAGGTGAGCTTCAGACAACTGAAAAACAAACCATATGGGGTGGATTAAACATTTTTACAGGCCTTCTTAATATATCACAAAGAAGCAAAAAGAGATGCAATAGGCACCATTTTTTTCTGATTAGTAATTCACAACTGCCTTGGAAAGCTAGCAAAATGATGATATTGCAAAAGTCAAGGGAGAGGAAGTTGAACAATTGACTGTTTAAAATTCTTTACTAACATATTTATTTCCAATATTTTCGATAAAGGAAGCCTTTGTTAAAGATAGAAAACCTTTTGCTTGCCCCGTAATTTAAAAACGTTACAGCCCCAAGAGATCCTCCAACAATCTGTTTAGCTACGGCATTTTACTTACAGAATTCCATTATTAATTGTGAGTATCTTTAAGTCTTTGATTTATCCTCCTAACTGCCCTGTGAAGTTGGAAAGGATTATTATCCCAATTTTACAAATGGGGAACTAAGACACTGAGAATCTAAGTGACTTGTTGAGAGGTCACAGAAGAAATGTGTCCAGAGCAGGGACTCGAACCCAGGTGTCTCAAATAGCAGGCTAGTCCTCTAAGCACCAAACCATCCTTGCCCTAAGAGGATGCCAGACTTGATATTCCTGAGGTTTGTAAGTTAAACAGGTAGGCAAGTAATCTTTGCAAATATTATACATTATAAAGTGGACATCACAAAAGAGAACACACTCAATAGTTTTTCCTCAGGGACCTTTTTTTTAAGTGAGAAAAGTAAGGATTTTTATTTTTATTTTTTTGCTAGTGTGTATATGCCATCTAGAGAGAGAATAGGGCACTTTAAAATGTTTAAACCCATCCATAATTTCTCAGGCTGTTCCATAGTTTTTACTAGCAAAAACTTGCTTAAATCCTCAATCTCCTCATTCACTCCCTCCTCCAGATTATAATTATTTACTAATAAATAGCAGCCTAGGTTTCAACCTTTATTGTTAAGTCTCTAACTTTCAGTTTATTTCAACAGCATTAACTAGATACTTGTCTCTTACCTTGTGCTTAATAGTTTCTTCTGAGAGATTTTATTAGCTTATTAAAAAGCCAAGTAAATCATGTCAGCTGCATCTTCCTTTTCATTACATTTGTCAAAGAACTCTCTCGGTTTGCAGAGCTACGCTTTTTTCTTACAGAAGCCATGCTGGTTTGACTCTCCTCGGGCTAGACTTATCCAAGTTCTGTTGTGCTCCTCTCTTAATTAAAATCAGACAGATACTACATACCATAAAATCAATATACTTAACCTTCAAGGCATTTTTATTTTACAACCCAGTTGACTTTTATTGATACTTTTTGAAAACTAAAAAGAAAAGATTTTTTAAAGATGCTCAGTTTCTTTAGGCAAAAACTGTGATATAAGATTATGGATTAAGAAATTCTTCAAACCAATAAAGAAGAGCAAAGTTGAGTTTTGGCTAACTTACAATAATAAAACCTATCTAAAATGATTACAGTAAAGGATCAGTTTTTCAGGTTATTCATTACTTGAAAGAAGCAAGCATCACAATAACATTATAAAAGGATTAGAGTTGACTAGCATAGAACAAATTTCTTCCAAGTCAGTGTTCTGTCCATTTGTCTCTTAATATTGCATTGTCTTTTGTCTAGCTACATGCTTATCTCTCTGTAAGCTAGTGGAAATTAATGCACACATCTGGATTAAAAGCAATGATAGGAATGACTGAGCCAAGTCACTCTTTAGTACATATTATTTTTTAAAAAAAATCCGAGTGACAGAAAAAAGTTCTCACTGATATTTTACTAGAGATACATGAAAAGGATTATATACTGGTTACTTAGAAAGTTCTATCAAAGGCAAATAAAGCTCAATATTTTAGCTAGAAAAGGAAAACCCATCAATACCAATTTCCCTCTGTCACCTCTATTTTTATTTATATTTTCTAGCCAAGGCATGGCTTCCCCCTTGGTGGTAAACTACTCCCAATGATGGAATAACTTATTTTGGAGCTGTTTTCCTACATAATGTTGGTCAGAACCAGCTATAATCACAACTGCAGTGATAGACCTTCAAGCATGTGCAGTGTTGTTGTAGCCTTGTCTGTCCCAGGATTAGAGCTACAAGGAGGGGTGAGGTAATATCTATTATTGCATCAACTGCTCTGTCACCAGCAGAAGTTGGACCAATAAAAGTTATCGCCTCCCTCACATTCCCTTCAAGCAGATATTCTTCAGGTTAGTCTTTGCCGTTCTGCTTTTTTAAAAAAACAGATTTAGCATGATATCCACTGGGCATTTCTTTAAAAGGTCCATTTTGCTCTGTTCGGTAACAACCCTTCCCCCATTTGCCTCCCAGCAATCACTGATTGAGGCTGAGCACTCTTTTTTTCAATCATATAAGAATTTAAATACATGCTCAACTCTAAGCATGTGGGTACAATGTGAGTCTAGAGGTGAAGAGAGGGGCAGCTCAGTTTTCATGCTTAATCAAAACTTGATCCTGAAGCATTTATAGTCATGAATCTAAGCTAATCTTCTGCTCACCTCTAGACTTTTCTCACCTTCAGGTCAGGATTGACACCTTAGCAAATCTGTTGTGGACTTTCTTCCAGCCAGTCACCACTGCCCCTTTTTACCAGCACTAAAACTCTTATTTTGTAAAAGAAAAGGAACGGTTTTCCAAATTAAGTTCTGGTCACATGCTTTGTGCCACCACGTTATCCAGCAAAGCAAGAATATACCTTGTGTGTTTTTCTTTTTAAATAAGGGAGCAAATAAAAAGATATCTTTATTTGGCAGTATGTATTAATGATGACTTGCTGCACTTGTCCAAGATCAAGAATTCTGACTTAGAGGATAAAAGGCTCACTAGTGCCAAGAACTTTGTGACAATCAATCAGGTTTAGGAGAAACTTCTTGATGCACAGTTCGGCTCTTTTTCTCATCAAAGAAAAGGAAGGGTCAATAAATTTTCATTTAAAGTTTCTAATACTAAATAAGTTCAATAAAAATAATTACTTGTAGAAGTACAAAGCAATACAACATATGTTATTTACAGTCACGCAAGTCACGGATTGCTCTACCAAAAACACCTCCTGGCCTGAAGCTGTAAAACACATTCCCAAGTTGTATCTTTTCATAGAATGCTAGAACTGGATGGAAACTTGAGAGGTCATCAAGTCCAGTTGCCTGCATTCATGGCAGAACCAAGCACTATCTAGATCATCCCTGATAGATGTTTATCTTAAATATCTCTAGTGAGGGAGATTCCACAACCTCCGTAGGCAATTTATTCCAGTGCTTACCCACCCTGAGAGTGAGGAAGTTTTTCCTAATGTCCAACCTAAACCTCCCTTGTTACAATTTAAGCCTATTGCTTCTTGTCTCCTTTCTCCCTCTTCCTTGTAACAACCTTTTAGGTACTTGAAAGCTATTATGTCCCATCTCAGTCTTCTCTTTTCCAGTCTAAACAAACCCAGTTCTTTCAGTCTTGCCTCATAGGTCATGTTTTTTGTTACTCTTCTCTGGACCTCCAGTTTCTCCTGAAATGTGGTGCCCAGAACTGGACACAATACTCAGGTTGAGGCCTAATCAACCGAGAGCAGAGCAGAAGACTTCTCATGTCTTGTTTGCAACACTCCTGTTAATGCATCTCAGAATGATGATTATTTATTTTTTTTGCAGCAGTGTCACACTGCTGACTCATATCAAGCTTGTGATCCACTATGATCCTTAGGTCCCTTTTTGCAGTACTCCTCTTTAGACCATCATTTCCCATTTTGTATGTGTGAAAATGATTGTTCCTTACTAAGTGGAGTACTTTGCATTTATCTCTACAGGGTGTCCCTGCTATAAGTTGCCCCCGTATATATCCATTCCTCACTAAAGTCGTTGATGCTTGTAAGAACTCATGCATTATAAGTCCTCCCATTCCCCACTCTTAAATCACACCAAAAATACCTCCCATTGTGCGCAAATGGAAGCTAACCATAGGAAAAAAATTCCCCACTTTAAGTTTTCACTAAAAGTCCAAGTTTTTTTGAATGTATCTTGGACTTATACCAAGGACAGCCTGCATAGAACTTCATCCTGTTTACCTCAGACCATTTCTCCAGTTTGTCCAGGTCATTTTGAATTATGACCCTATCCTCCAAAGCTCTTGCAACCCCTCCCAGCTTGGTCTCATCCACAAATTTTATAAGCATATACTCTGCCATTTTTTATAGTCTGGTTCTTAGCTTGTCTCAATAGTTTCATTTACACTTACTCACCTTTGTGTGTAGTTTTATAGGAAAGGCTTCATCTACTCTGTTTGCTGGTGGAATCCGTGACTGCCTGCAATAACTATACCATTTTGTTGCAATCTGCTGATTGATTTTTACTTCATAATAGTATAAACAAGCTAGTTTTTAACGAAGTTTTCTCACTTTGGCTATGTCTAGACTATGGAGTATCCCAGAAAACCTCTGCCATTTCCAGGAAACGCGTCTGCTCTTATGACATTTTTTTTTTTTTTTTTTCAGAAGCGCTGTCTTCCTCCTGCCACGAGGAAGGAGGGATCTACTGAAAGAGGAGGTTTTACTGAAATGTGGTCCAGTGTAGACAGGCCAGATTTTGGAAAAGCCTCTTCTGACAAAACTATCGGGAAAAGGTACGCAAATTGCAGATTACAATGTGCGAAGTGCAGGTTGCATAGCTTTTTCTGATAGAAAGCAGCAGTCTAGACGTAGCCTCTGTGGATTAATACTGGGAGGGCAGAATACATTATGTGCAAGCATAAGGACAAAACTTCTTCCAAAAGATCATGATCAGGGTTTGAACCCTGGACTTTGAGATCCATGGCATGGACCATTGAAGTTAAAGGAGTAGTTATCCCTTACGTAGGCAAGCTATTAAGGGAGCTATTAAGCTACATGGTTGGCCAGCATGCAACACAGCAGTAGAATGCTGCAGCTCAGGAGCTCTGGCTTCTCTTCATGCCTTTGGCATGTGAGGATGCTCAACTAGTAAGCCAGACTCACAGATCTGGCCTGTTACTTTTGAAAAGTGATACAGCTCAGTGGATACTATATGAGAGATCCCAACTCTGCTTGAAGTGACCTTAGGCAACTTCTAAGTTATTTCTAAAATTGAAGAGAGACACTTCACTACTCTACTAAGGCTAAATATAAGGGGTTCTTCAGTGAGGGCCCTTTAAGTGCAGCAGTCAGAGATGAGACAAGAAGTTTTGGCTCCTAGTACTATGTACTTTCCCCTTGGGTTGTGAGTTGGTCTCTACAGAATATTGCCTGAATTAGCTGACATGCAAATCATCCCACAAATGCTGGTTCACATGAGAGCTCTGCTAGAACTGTGTCTACGCTAGCTCTTGGTATGGTATTACCTTCCAAAAAACTAATCCACCAGTAGCAGCATTGAGACACTTTCAGCAAAAGAAGTAGGGTAGACACCCTTGAAATGATTTTAATAGATATTTGGGAATTTACATCCTAGACCAGGGGCAACTGGCATGGGGAAACATGGCGACGCTGGTCACATGACCACCTCCCTGCAGCCCAGGGAAGGGCTGGGACATTACCCCTCCACCGCAGACCCTGCCTCTCCTCGTGCCTGCTCCACCTCCTTTCTGCCCCAGATCTGCCCTCTCCCCTCCTCTTCCCACCCTTGTTCTGCCCCGCTTCTTCCTCCAATTCCCTCCCCCAAGCAATTTGGCCCTGGAGACTAGTGAGCCTAGGGTTCCAGCACCAGCAACGGGGTACGGCCCCCCCTTGCATTCACTGGCAGCAGCTGGTGAAGCGGAGATTTATACAGAGGCAATATGATGTTTTCTGTCTTATCATCTATCTCTTTCTTAATGAATCCCAAGCATCTTGTGTTTCCTGAAGAACCTGGTTCATGTAAAGCCCAAGAATATGCTTAGTTAAGAAAATTTGCCCCCTTAGATTTCCAATTTACAGACCCAGTTCCCCACAATTTCTCAGCTACCAACGGCACAGTAGAGAAACTATTCTTCCACCCAACTGGTAAAACTGTTCCCCGAGGCCCTTAATTTTAAAAATCTACCCTTTTGCTCCCAGATTCTAATGAACAGCTATTCTAATTTAATGGGATTTCTAAAAAATGAAGCAAGATAATAAAAGGAAAAATTACAAGGGGAAAAAATCAGTTTCTAAAGTTCCAAGTATCCTTTATGCTATGGCCTATTTGAAATATATATGTGTTTGAAATATTTTAAATCTCCAGCCTTGGGTTTATATATAAAGAGAGAGAACTATATTGAAATATTTCAAACTGAGCAAGTTTCTAATAAGCCAAGTTAGGGCATGTTCCCACAATCCTTTATACAATGCTAACAGCCCTATTGAAATGAGTAGGAAGAGGCCCTTTTTTTAGCAAACAAATTTTCCTGTTATGTTATTGCTAGTCATTCTAGAAAAGTGAATGAACTGAGGGCATGCACTGCAGCATATCCAGACATTAATGGTGGTGGTGGTGTTAAAATAAGCTGATCCTGAACAACATATAGATTTAGGTCAATTTTAAACAGAATTAGAGTCAGACAGACCAAACAAACAACTTGTATCTGCTGTTTCTTAGAGGTAGCCCTCTTAGGCCATGTCTTCACTTGCTGTGCCAGAAATCAAACTTCCGACATTTGATTTAGAGGGCCTAGTTAAGACCCGCTAAATTGAACACTGAGAGTGGTTGCAGTCAGCACTTGTATTCCTCGCAGTCGCGAGGAGTAAGGGAGGCCGACAGGAGCGTTTGCTTCCGTCAGCCTCCCTCGGTGAATATGGTGCCAAGTTCAGCTTAAGGTAAAATGACTCTAGTTACGTATTTTACATATTTGGAGTTGAATACCTTAACCCGAGCCTACAGGTCTAATGTAGACCAGGCCTTAGACTGTTTCAGCAAAAACTAGTGTTATATTACAGCCGGTCCACGAGTTACGAACGAGTTATGGACCAAACACTTGGCCGTAACTTGAAGTGTTCGTAAGTAGGGCCCCATTCATTTACATGTCGTAACTTGAAGTGTTCGTAAGTAGGGCCTCATTCATTTACATGCGACTGTGCTGTTCGTAAGCAC